TGTGGCTGTTGAAGGTGTGGCGACTGAGTAGTCGTGGAGTGTCCAAGCTGCTGAAGAGGAGTCATCTAGGTAGTCTTTAGGATTTTCTTTGTTTCCCTTGTTGTTGTTTGCTTTTCTTGAACTCCTTCAATCTTTTCTAGTTGTTTATCAACTTTGCTAGAAAATTTAATAAACTTGCTTCCTTTGCTTTTCTTCATCTTCGCTTCTTTTGTTCAAGCCCTAACCTTTGGACTTTATAAACTAGTGGCAAGCGTGCTACTTTTTTATAAGCAGACAGGCCGCGTAGCCTTTGCAGCTGTAGGTGTTGGTGTAGAACTTTGCAAAGTTTTTAGCCATAGGGTCGGCAGCCGGACGCCTTACTTACAGAAGCAAATAAGTCTGCGTGACCACTAGGCTATTAACCTTGGCTTTCTCCACTTCCGTAGGTTGCGTAACAAGTATCACAACACTTTAGGACTTGGTGTGAGTCATTTTGCTCTTGGCAGAGGTGAAGCTTATCGACTACGTAGCATGTCGGTAGTGGATAAAACTTCGTATATGCACACTAGCTTGTTTAACCTTTCACAAGAATGTGTGGTTATATAAGTTTAGCGTGGTTTATTGCTCGAAGGGCAAGCCATAGGCAGTCTTCTGGAAACCGTAGGCTACCTTAGTGAACTCGATAGCAGCTTTAGGGTTCCAGGGCAGCCATCCATCGGATGTACTGCGTAATGTGCCCCTTCCATCTCTAGGGCTTGGTTCCCCACGGATTAGGCCAAGGGACCCAAAATCCTTCAATTAGCTAAGCGTTGAAAAAGACCATTGTGGCTACTTCTAAGAATCCCGACGCAAGCCATCGTGCATCTAGTTATACTAGGGCAGCTAGGCTCATCCACGTCTTTTGGTTTCTTTATGTTAAACTTAGCACGCTCATCCTCAGTGGCCTCATGGCCAGGAGGTATGTGAGGTGGAGTCTTTTCCTTGTAACAACGTCAAGATCAACAAAATTTATCATGATGTGTATAGCTGTCCGCAACATGCAAAGCATGTTGTTAAAGGGGTTTTCCTTTCCCTTGTGGTGACTCTTTCTGTGATAGGCATTGCATGTATGTTGAATCTAGCAAACTGGATAAAATATAATGATAATTAAAGTTTGAAACAGAACTCACATATGATTCATGGACACTTGAGCAAATGGGCACTTGAGCAAATGATACAACAATACAAATCGATGACAAAGCAAATGAATCCAACTCACCTATACTTGATGACAACATATGATCACCATTGAAGGGATTATTCGAATATAAGACGGAAAAGGGAAATAAAATGACTCCTACTGTGGGAGCTTGTTGAACTTTCGGTGTCGGTATTCGGCGTACGTTTTGGTCGAGTACTTGGCAGGATTTTGCTCATCCAAGAGCTCCTGTAGAGGCCCGATCACAGCCTCATGTGGAGGAGCAATGAACACGGCCCACGACATGCGCGTACGTTCCTTATTCACCAAACTTCTGTGAAGAACACTCTTGTACTTGCCATTGCTCAAGACCTCCATCTGATCACCAATGTGAACAAAAACCGCATTTGGCAGGTAGTCTACAGCAACCCAGTTGTCATCCTTCCACAGCTGAAGGCCGGGAACATCGTTCGAGACGAGTAGGGTTAGGGCTGACATGTCAGTGTGAGGCTCAACTCCAAGGGCTAGTTGGGGCTGAGGGCATGGTGGGTACATGTTGATTTTCATTTCCAGTTCCACTTCTTCACCTCCCACATGGGATTTCAGAACCTTGCTTTCCAGCCCTAGACCTTCTGAAAGCACCTCCAGTAACTTGTCTGTCACTCTTAGCATTTCCTTGTTATATTCGTCATTCACTTCCCTACAGTGTCATATAAACATTGTGAGACAGCACAAACCTCCTCCCCCAATATATATCGTTGTATAAAATTCATTTTTCTAATTAAAAAACGATAACTTTAAGTTAATCTATAGTTAGGGAGAGGACTAAAACTCAAATGCATAGGCGAGAACACATCCAATTTAGCTACTACGGCTACACTAGCACTCAAGCGGGGTATGTTTGCATAAGTAACCTGTTTTACAACCATTTGATTTCTGTTTCTGTTTTTTAGTTTTTATTTTTGTCTTATGTCATGGAGGGGAGTATATAGAAGAAATTTCTTCCCTCACCTCCCAACACTGTTCTCCATCCCTCCATATACTTTGTCCGCCACTCAAACATAAAAACTAAATCCCAAATAATTTTCTGAAAATGTGAGTTTATCCTTGAAATTCAATTTTCTTTACCTAAAATACACCATAATATATTTTTCACAACAAAATTCAATGACTAGCTAGGCTCCGACTAAGTAAATTTCTTAATTAAGTTTGAGTAGTGTAGCCGTACTTTACCCTTCCAACTCATATTTTCTAAATAAAAACTCACCTAAACTTAAACATCTAAATAAAACCTAAGATTCAAATAAGCATCCATGGACTTACAACTTGTGCCACAATACCGAATCATATCAATAAATGTTATTTCTCACCGTAATTATGTTGAGCAACAAGCCCCACATGAAATATACACCATATTTCTAATTGTAAAATATACATATACAAAATACTAATAACATAACCTATTGGTATAAAATATTATACTATAATTTACCTGCATATAGATTAAATTAATTTACCTACTGATCTAAAATATTATACTAATTTACCTACATTTAAATTAATGTACCTGTTAAAAAAAATAGTAATATTAAATAATATGCTGTGGTTTGTTATGGTAGGGAACTAAATAAACTTGTAAACTAATGCACATAAATCATGTAGGTATATATATTAGACCATTTTGTAGGTAAATTACACCCCTTAAATTTTGGTGTGATGGAATAGGTATATTAGACTATTTTGTAGGTTTAAGTTGCGCGGAGCTTAGCTTAATTTGTTATGTGCATTAGGGATTGGAGTATGCAATAGCCGAAGCCATTTGAGGTTTATTGTTGTGTTGGTAGGAAAAATAAGTTGTATAGTTAATGCACAAAAGAATTAAAGTAGCAGTATTATGATTCAATCGGCACCTTACAACAATTTGAAAGTTAATACATTGAATTGCATGAAATATTTTGTAAAATAAATTCATAAAGTTATATAGATATAACAAGTAACAGGTCCAAAAACCACATCCACATATTATTAGCGGTAGTTTAGGAATTCTAACTTAACAAAGAAAGCGGAAAAAAGCTAAAAACCGATCGTATTTGGTGTTGTGGGACAATTGGATACTTACCATTTATTGAATTTAAAGGAATCTGATGTTGGGGAAAACCAGAGCAGTATCAAACTATGAGTGAAGCTGCGGTTGGGCTGAGGATTTGGGGGTGTTGCAAGTGATGGTTTTAGGAATGTTTTGGAGAGGGGGCTCCTGCCTGCTGTAGATATTTGGAGTTGCTGGGTAATTTTGTTTAATTTTTTTTAACGAGAAAACAATCTATATATACTGGACAAGGTTCATGATAATCAAAATAAGATGGGTGGGCATAGCACCACTCTTAAGAAATTTGTTTAGCTAGAGTCTAGTCATTGGGTTTTAGTCAAGAAAACAAAAAAGAGAAGGGTTTTAGTTAGGAAAATTTAGTTTCAAGAAGTAAAGAAAAATGTGTTACAAATCTTGAGCTTTATATGCATGAATTATTTATTGTTAGTTAGAGATATATACCTGTAAGATGGAGGGTTCTTAGGCCAGATTTCATAGTTGACCTTTGATGGAGGCGCAGTAAGATGGAAGAAATAGTCGATCCATTCGACCTTCTCGTCATGGTTCTTTGTCATTTTAGTGCCATATCCATCAAACTTCCCACTAGCAGGGTCGTTCGCATAAGCCTCCTTTTCCTCCTGTGGGAGAAGGAAGAACTCCTGACCAACTTTTTGCAACCGTTGGATCAAAGACGATGGTATGCCATGGTCAGTGATGAGAAAAAAACCCCATTCGGTGGCTGCCTCCGCCATCCTCTTCACAACAACATCATGAGGCTGAGCTAGGGAGATAACAGGCACTGAGACCCCCTCTAAGGCTTTGCTGTTCTCAGGCTGCTCATGAGCGGGGCGAACAAACTTGGCCGGAAGTTGGTTCAACCCGCCCAAAGCCAGTGCCTGCACTCTCTCCACCTCCGTTTCCCCCATTTTTTGTTGCCTTTTTTGTATGTTTGACAGTCTTGATCTTATTACGCCTTTTTGGATGTTATGGTAAAAGACATATATAATGAGTGAAGATACTCTACATATGCATTGTGGTGCTACCTTTAGAAGAGCCGGTTAGCTACCCACGTGCACCTAATCTTCAATTCAACCAAACAGTAATCCATGAAATAATTAACCTGTAGGTTTGAACGTGCTCTTCAATTCAACCTAACATTATTTAGATGTTATGGACGAATAATTCAATTATTTTAATTATGGACGGTATCTTTAAATATTGATTTAATTTGTATTAGGATTATTAATTAAATATGGATTTTAAGTATTTATTCTCTCTCGTCGTGAAAACAGTTTCTCAAAGTAATAGTAATAAGGTCATCAAACTTCAGAGTTAACTAGCCTTTTCAAGTAGCACAAAGTACGAGGCAAATCTATGCTACTTGAAAAAGCTAGTAAACTACAAAGTTTGATGATCTTGTAAATGCTAGCATTTTGAGAAACTGTTTTCTCGACGAAAGAAAATAAATACTAAATATTTTGTCGCGTCATGGATCTTTGCACGATGAAACAAAATATTTGTCGCGCAAAGTGATTTTGTAATTGTCAATGATAATCGCACGATGAAGTCTTCGCCGTGCAAAGTGTTTTTCTGAAATTGACGATTAGGCTCCTTATTGTCGCGCAAAGTGATTATGTAATTATTGTGGACTTTGCCCTACGAATGCTTCGTCGCGCAAAGGTCCTAGGGTTCTTTAAAAGCACAGATTCACTCTCCTTTTCCCTCACAGAGTTTTCTCTAAAATCCTAAAGCTCCCCCCCCCCCTCTCTTTTCTTATTTCCCAAACCCCTCATATCCCAATTCAAGTTTTTATTTTTGATACGATGACCGATTCCGCTCCTCCTTCAACAATGAGATCCGAGGGCAAAGGATCTTGGAAAGGTAATACTAAATTTATGTGGATTTAATAGTTATATATATATATATATATATATATATATATTAAAAAAACAATGGTTGGATTAATTACTTAGTTTGATTATGAAATTTATATTTTTTTTTGTAGAATAAAAACGAAGACAATGGTGGGGCGGCCACGATTGGTGATTGATGGCCGATGTAAGCGATTCAGCTATGATGATTTCAAGGTATATGGGACAAGGGCGCACACCCTACTAAGCACAAAGTTGGGGTCCTAGTGCGAACTAACTGTCGTACGGAGCGGGAGTCTTGAAAACTAGTGTCGGAAGAGCTGAAGAAGTATATATATGCGGGATAAGTTAGTAGTAACTGCGAATTAGAAAATTAATATTTATTTTCGTTAAATAGCAAATGATTAGTAATTAATTTTGCTTTGCATAACATGGTAATTATGTTATGATGAAATCGACCCAAAGCTGATAAAAATCATTAACAACATGTGCAAGGGGACTTTTGTGGTAGCAGGTGCATGCTTTTTGCCCGCAATATTGTTGGCGCTTCATGCAGAGATGCAAGCGATCCTTCATGGGGTTGAATTGGCATTACAACTAGGTTTTCAAAAGGTACGAATTGAGAGTGACTCCTCCCAAGCAATATCCATCATCAACATTTGTGTGGATCCTGCATCCATTATGGATTTGTTAGTGGAGGATGTTCTTCATAGCAGCTTTGTTTTTCTGCTTCGAAGTTTATTTCCATTTCCAGGAATAATAATGGGATTGGCCATCGTTTGGCAAATGTAGCATTGTCTAGTGGTTCAAAACTAGTTTTGATTGAGGAGCCTCCAACTGTCATTAATGACCTTCTCATTCAAAAAACAGTGTAAACTTTCCCAAGTTAATGGTATCGTCTTCTTTTCAAAAATAAAATAAAATACTAAAACCTACTAACTACTCCCTAGAAAACGTAGAGACATGTGTATTTAATTTGTAATTTAATATTATTAAATTTCAGTATTGGATAAAGTACACAATTTATTTAATATTTATTAATTCTTATTTTTCTAAAAGTAGTTTTAGCGTTAAGAACTTTTATTTAATAGGTGGATTATAATATTAAACATAATAAAATAGTTGTTGCGGTCCATTAGATTAGAAATGTGATTGTGTACATCCTAACATATCTAGGATATCCTTATGGGATTCTACTATATCTCTTAGACTATATATTATCCTATGAGAGTTGTAATCTTAAAAGGTTAAGGAATTAACCTTCCCTACTACTATCAATAAGGACACAATGGGGTGAAATATAACACACCTCACAATTACACATCTTTCTCTTTCTCTCTAATGTTGCCGCACCCTCTCTCTGTCCTTTATACAGTTTAGTAAATTAGGCCTACAACAATAGCCTAAATGAATAGTATTTTTAAGCTTAAACAACTTAAACTCTCTCCATGCTACAACAACCCTAGCCTTGTTATTGGCTCTGCCAGTGAGGGCAGAACCCTCCACCATGGCCAGCCACTACCTCCTATAAATACCCTCATCAACTCCAAATTTCGGTAAGCCTTTTACTACGCATACAAGCCCTAAACACTCACTCTTTTCATAAAAACTAACTTAGGCATCAAACATTCATTAGCCAAACCCCCCCAACCCCAACTTCTCGTGGGCGCGAGGCATTGGTCTTTGATCAAAGGTGTTAATTGTTTTGTAAGTACAAATTTGTCAAGATTGAAGACGGAGGACTTTTGCTACTAAAAATTGGTGCTTTCATTGAGAGTTTGGTTCAAACGCTCGAAGAAGGCTCTCGCATTCAACGTTTCAAAATTTTCATTTATGCATAAATTCTCCCACACGTTCCTATTCATAGAATTTTTATATAAGGTGAACAGCCAGTATTTACAATTGAGCATTTTAGGTGTGACCATTTAGCAATCTTCGTGGTATCTTGGAACCCTAAAGCCGGTGCTGGTTTGTCGAGCAGCCTACGGATTCCAGACAATTGCTTACTGCTTGCCTTTCAAGCAGTTCGCCACAAATACTCATACAACTGCACACTTTTGTTAAAGGTTAAGCAATTCGTGTGCCCATATAGATGTCTAGCCATTACCAACATGCTATGCAGCCTAAGAGTTTTACGCACTACAAAATGCAAAACAACATCTTGGGTTAAAGAACATGATATCCAGACAACTGCATATTTCTGCTGTGGCAAGTTAGTGGCGTTTATGTTCATACTGATTCCTAAAGTGTTATTCTACTTGCTACACAACCTACATAATCGGTTACATAAAGTGCAAAATGTTTTTTTGAACCACTGGCCATGAAAATTCATACAACTACGCACTTTTGATGAGCTAAGTTAGCGGATTTTGTGTACCAAAAATCGCTAGTATGTTGTGATGAAGGCCATTCAACTCAAAAGATTGAAGAATTGATGACCAGCTAAGCATCACACAGTCAGGGGGGCAACAACGCTCAACGAAGTTTAGCAGTTCAATGCCCAAAAGTTCAAAGCTCACAACCAAGTGGTCACGCAGACTCGTATGCTTCTGTAAGCAGGACATCCGATTGCCGATCCTGTGGCTAATCGCTTTACAAAGGTTATACACTAAAACTCTCGCCCGCATAACTATGTACTGCTTATCAAGAAGTAGAGCACCTGGTTACATGCCCTATAGTCAAAAGTTTGGTGAACCACCAATCTGAAATGTATAACTATAGTAACTATGCAGATTCATCTACGTTTTTGAAAGAAATGTTTTCGGCTGCCGACCCTATAAGCATCAAAGTTGGAACATTCAGGTTTTAAGACATGGTTTGATTTAAACATATTAATCATAGAGAACTTCCAATCTCAACATGAGTGATGTGTGTTAAGAAACTTTAGGTTTCTATAGCACTTTTTCGAAACTTCGGGTTCAACATTATGAATTGTTGGTTTATGTGAAAGTTTAACTGTGGGTAGCTTCGGGTTTAACTTTAGGTTTCTATATACAAGACAATAAAGCAATTGAAAACAAATATAACTGTGGGTAGCTTCGGAACCCTTTATGTGATAGTTTAGGGAATGGGGCCTAAAAGTGTTGAGCTTTAGGTTCAAAAATAAATTATTATTTTAATTGACTAGATTGTAGGCCAGCAAGAGAAGATTGGGGTTTATAGAACCTAGGGCCAAATATTGGGCTAAGAAAGAAAAAGTGAAAAACAACTCCCATTAAATGGGGCAGTTTTTCATAAGGGCCCAAAAGAAAAAAACACTAATTGGGCCCAATTTAAAATAAAGAGGGTTGGTTATGGTGCAAGCCCCGTTAGGCTTGTAATTCCTTTTTTTTTTTTTTTAAGTTCGCCTTTGCTACGCATCTGGCTAGCATTAGAAAGAGGCAACCAGGCCTAAATATGGGCTTATTATCTGGAATATAAAACGCAGGCACTTTATGGGTCCAGAGACCCAAGCCAGGAAGGAAAACAAGGCCCATTATCGGCTAGCCATGAGAAAAATCTAGGCTAAAAAACTAATTCAACCTTGTAAGGCTGTAGTCACACTGGTTTGACCCACACCATAAGTCTTAAAGGTTCTAGGTTTCACTTGGTAAGCCCTTGTGCCCACATATCAAGCCCAAATACCTAGGGTCTATTTTACTCGCTGGAGAAGACATAACGATGCTACTGTCGGCGCACTAAGGTGGTCGCGAGATTAAGAACGTCACCATGGAATCTCGAAAGACAAGATGACAGGAGATGCAATTTAGAGGATCAGAGACGGTAGAGGATCTACGATGACGATTGTGTTGGGCGTGGACACCCACGATTGGTTGGAGAAATGACAAGGATGACGAGAAAAAATTCAAGCCATTGTTATACATGTGTGGGTGGCATACCAGTGTCACCATGGCTGCTGGCCATGGATGTGTTCACTGTAGGTCAAGAAAATGCTGAATGTGGCAGAAGCCTTGGTGGCTTGTGGCTCAATTTGGCACGGCTTCATGCACGACTCGTGCATTTTTTTATTAAACAGTCACTTGTCGACTCGGTTTGGTTTGGCACGGCTTCAGGTGCGACTTCAAGCCGTGGCTCCAATGTGAGCTAAGCTTTCAAAATTCCTTTTTTCTTTCTTTTTTCTTTGCTTATTCACGCGTATTCAATTCACATAATATTGTAATATTTTGAATATAATGCATGCACAATTTATGTAGAATCTACAATTTGTAAAATGTTAAGTTGGGTTATACATTATGGTGAAAGTTCGTGCAATCAATGATAAAAAAATATCAAGATAAAAGCCGTTGTTTTAGAAGAACCTGGATTGCGATAATGAAAATTGTGAAAGGGTTTGTAAGAGTTCCTCCTCCGAATTTCGGATTTCCATCTTTAGAGCTTGTATCACGTTTAACACAAGAAAAAAATAAATTGAATCAATAAAAGTGTATGAATTCTATAAAATGAAATAAGAATAATTGAAATGTAGTACTCTCCTTATTGAAGATGGATGAATTCTCTTTAGCGCAGCGTCAAGAGCATGTTGATAACATGTTTTGACCTATTTTATCAAAGAGAGAGAGAGGTGCGACATAGGGGAAGAGAGATAGAGTAAAAGGTTTGAGGAATTTTGTGTGTTATTAACTCAGTCCTTGTGCCTTTATTTATTATAAACCAAGGAGGATTCCTTACCTTGCAAGTAATACAATCCTAAAGGAAAAAAAAAATCTTCTAGTATCATAAATACAACCTACTAATGATTTACACAATCAAACAAGCGCTAGAAGTATATACATAACATTTTTGTCCTTATCATTAAATTTGAAGTATGTACATAACTTTTGTAAAGAAAAAGTCTAGTTAAGCATGTTTCATTAAAACTCCCCTTATTTTAAATGGTCCCCACCATCTCTTTTTATCTACAACTCATTGCCTCCCGACTAGTGACTATTATCTTTTAGAACATTGAGATTAAAGCAGTAATAATATTGCTTGTGATTAATAAAAATATTAAAAAAAATATTATTGTTAAACATGAGTGTTAAATTGTGATACTCGAGCTTGTAACTCAAAGTGATTAAAAGCATTTATTATGGATCTGATTTTTGTACTAAGTTTCTCCACAACCCTAATATCGCTTGTATTAGACGTGTGAAAACAACATTGTTGATGCACAAAACCGGAGGGGTCTTGGAACAACGTAAATCCGACCATGAATCTGCAAGAATGTAAAGAACACAAGATGTATCGTGGTTCATCCTAATGTTTGGGCTACGTCCACACTGACACTGATATTGTATTTCTTTGTTTGTGAGAGGATGAGAGGGTGAGAACTTCTGAGGGTGAGAGAGCTTTTCCCATGGCTTAAGAATTGGCCTCCTCTAATGAGGAGAGTGATGAGTCCTTTTATAGAATAAGGGCTCATCACTTATTACATTT